GCCTCTACGGCCTGCTTCCGCAATAACTGTTGGTTTGGCCTCCTTTATCGTTTGTTCGTTTGTTGGCTGTTGAGATCGTTTCTGGGTTCTTCTGATGCTGGTGTTAAAGCCGCTTGACTACCAGAGTTTCTTTGCCTGCTCAATTAAGAAAAAAATGTGGTCGTCATACATAAAAAAAGCACCCGAAAAGAATGGGCAGCGGCCACTTTTACTACTCAATTCAGGCCGAAAGTGTTTTCGGATCTTTGATTCATGACGACCTAAAAAAGGTAAATAGCCGTATGCCAAGACTTGAACAAAATCATGACGAAGTCGCAGTGGTGATCAGGAGCTATCATTGTAACAAATATCATTTTACTCACAAGCATGCTATGCTTGCTACGACCGGTTACAAGAGCATAAATATATCTAATATGTGATATTGGAGAAGAACATAAATAAAGCAGAATATAAACAATTGAAGAGTATCAATTCATATTACTAATAGATATTGCTAGATAGTAGTGTTACAGATTGCTGGGGCTTCATATCATTGCTGGATAATCCTATCATCGATAGATATCATCGCCAGATATCGCTACATCTTGATATTGCACATAGATGGGTGGATGGGTGGATGGGTGGATGGGTGGGAGAAAATAATCTGGATATCTCACTGACATTAGGACAAAATCTCCACAACAGCTCCTCAATATCATTCATCTTCATAATATAATATCTCAATTAAGATACATCACCGAATTCTTTGAGAAGAGGTGTAGAAGGCAGAGATTGCTCATATGTAACTATGGAATATAATATGAGAAATTTGATGGGCAGAGATGCAAGGAATACGGGTTATGAAGCTAACCACATTACTGTCCATAAAATACAGAAAAACCACTTTTCAATTAACTATATATAGAGAAGAGAAGATTGTAAGAATATTGGGTCACATATTACAAAGTCATTGCACGAGAACAGCACCAATCGCACATGCCCATCAATTCATTCAACAAGATACCCACCAAAATCCAGATTCCTGCTAACTCAGAGATACGGTAATTGTCTGGCGGTGCAACAATCGAGATTCGTTTCACCAGGAAATCATCATGCAACTTTCATGGAATAGAAAACAAGAGACAAAGAAAACAAGAGATGCGGTATCATGTGGATAGGAGAGACATTTCATACTTCCAAAAATACAAAAACAAACATGCACTGGATTCAGAGATTAAGAGAAAGTTCGAAACCATCAGATCACCTCTGACCCAACGCCCTTAGACCCGGATATTGGCTTCAGGGACCATATGGGGGCCGGAAGGGAGTTGAGTACCCCCGATTCCGCGTTTGCCCTTGTCCTGGTCGTCCCGACTAATAGTTTCATCAACTGAACCAATTCCTGAATCCCTAGTTTTAGGTCGTGAACGAGGCTTGCGTGCAATAGGAGCTAACTGAGGGAGGTTCGTAGATTCAGCGGCGTCGCCAATGGAAAAGACGGGTGATTCCCATTTGTCCCCCTTGGTTGCAAGCTCCTCATACTCTGTAACCTTGGAGGATATGCCCCCCGGCAGCTTGATATGCTGGAAAAGAGCAGTGCGCTCTGTGGCAGTGAGGTTGACTTTGGTATCCCGTTCCTTCACAGCGTCTTTCTTCTCGGCTGATTTCTTTCTCATAGCCATAACTTGCTTGCGTACTGCATCAACATAATACGAGTAAATAGTTTGGCTTTCCTGCGGGCTGCTCCGAGCAGCCTTCCAGGCACGCTGCGCTTCACTATGGACAGCATACGTGAACCGATCGCCGCGCATAAAGCAGTCACGGATTTGCTGCTCTAAAACTTTTTTCAACGGCAGGACGCACGGCACCGTAAAACAGAGGGCTTTAAATATCCGTAAAAAAGCAACTTGTGATTCGACTTGCTTGATCTTAATGTGCAGGATTTTGATGTTGACCGATACCTTTTTCTAGTTTGAATAGGTTGTCACCTGAACTCGCTGGTCAATCCCGGAATGCTGAAATTCAATCCCTTCACCCTCCTAAGAATATGTCCATTACCCCGGGGTCAAGGGATAACAAGGGAACCCAGTCTATCTGTAGAAGAAAAACTAAACGATCCCTCCATCCATTTTGTATCCAAATTAGCCGCAACCCGGACCTATGTAAAAAATTGTCAGATAATTCGTGGAAACTCTCTCCCCCCAACACAATGATTCGC